GTGTCTCTTCCTCTTCTTACAAGGACACCAGTGAGATTGGATTAAGGCCCCACCCAAACATCCTCATTTTTATTTAATTACCTCTTTAAATTCCCTGTCTCCACATATAGCCACATTTTGAGGTACTGGGGTTTGGGAAATCAACATGTAAATTTTAGGGGGCACAATTCAACCCGTAAGACCAGGTGATGCTGGACAAGCTGATCAAGATGGCAGAAGAGATGGTCCCCAGTGTCACCCTGTCCCATAATCAACCAATTTACAACTATTAAAAAGCAATGACTGCCAAGCCGGGCCGTTAGAGCTCAGGGGAAGAGGAAGAGAGACCTACAGAGTTCATGAAGGTGGGAGAACCCACGATGAGAGAAAGGATCACTCTGACCATTTTGAGCCCTGACCATTTCAAGGCTGGCCCTGGTGACACATGGAGCAAGAGCTGGCAAAAGCCACTGCTGTACCCTTTGTATGAAGTTGCTTAGAGACTGAAGGGGAGGAGGGCCTTGGTGGCCCCCAGGCCAGCAAGACCACTAATAGGGTTCATGTTGATCCACACAGCAATGAGGGGCCATAGACAACTGAACAAAGGAGCCACTCAGAGGCCAGTGAGTCATTGCAAGGGAACTGCATGCCTGGCCCGACTTCGTTTGGAGTGTGGGGGGTGGGGAAGACAGGCCCACTGGGGGAACGTTGGGGCACAGCAAGGACAGCTGATCCACCCCCCAATCAGCACAGGACGACTCAGTGGAGACTAGTCAGGAATACAGATCTGCAGGGGATGCAGTTTGCTGAAAAGACTCAGACCCAGACCGGTTTCTGCACAACCCAGGTGTACCGGACCTCACAAGACCTGCTTACAAGGTCAACAATTAAAACCCGAGCTGCACAAAAAGCCTTCCTTAGGAAATCAGCAGCAAAGCAGCAATTTAGGCCAGCCACAGGGCTCAAGTGCTGGTCCCCACAGGAAGTCCCCCCATTTTAGAAGTAACCAAAGGACAACAAATTAGTTCCGGAGCAGAGTTTAAGTGGTGGGAATAGTGAATAATCCAACATAGAACTGAAAGAAAACACAAAAACCCCACATATCAGAGACAAAGTTTTTATATTAACCAGTAAAAGTCTAACACCACCAAAGAACACCTATAAAACCCAGAAGGACTAGAACTCCCCCACACTACCAAGCCAGGGTCAGGGGAGGGCCTCGGGCCTCAGCCATGCCCCCCAACATCTGCATCCAGCCCAGTGACAACCATTGAGCTGCCACCAGAAGTGCCCTGGGCTCCCAAGCCAGGGTGTGTGGGGCTGAGGGTCTCAGCCATGTCCCACTGAAGGCTGCATCCAGCCCAGCCACAACTGAGCTGCTGCTGGAAGCCCCCTGGGCTCCCCTGCTGGACTGAGGGGGGTGCCATGGCCTCAACCATGTCCCCATACTTCCTCCTTCCCCCATCCCTTGACCCCTTTCCCCCTCACCCTCACCCTCAACTGTGCCACAACATCTTCAAGTGTAAATAATAAATAAATAAATAAATATAAATTTTAAAAAAAAGACGAGGTGATGGATGCTAATGCTGCTGGTCCGGGCCCACACTTTGAGAACCACAGCTTTACACCACGTGGAAATGACTGTAATCTCACATCTTTTACCAATTCACAGCTATTCTTAATTACAGAACACAGAACCAGGTTCACTTCCTGTTGCCGAGAGATTCCTGGATCCACCCCCAGCCCCAGCCTCCAACTCCCTTCCTCTCTCTTTGATCTCCCAGAGGCATAAATTAGGTCAGAGAAGGGCTGATTCTAGGAAACTGTGAACATGGCTCCAGGCTCAGGGCTGTGTCCTGCATTCTCGTTTAGATGTCTATTTTTAATTTGGACATTTTAAAAAGGCAACTGTAATTAGTTTAAGTACCAAATTTAGGGACCGTTTGAAAGAGTCTTTAAAATTTTACTACGTTTCATCTTAAAAGGAAGAAGAGCCAGTTTCCCTTAAATTAAAACATCTTCTGTAGTGTTTGCAATCTCTCTTAGACACAAGAACTCAAAGAGAAGGAAAAGCAGCTGCCCCATTTTACTGCCCTGGGTAGGGGAGATGCAGGGAAATGGAAACCCAGAGAAAAAGGTAAATTTGGAAGCATCGAATGACTGGTGGTTGCGTGAATCTGCCTTTAACAACTGTTAGTTTGGACCCGGCTTCAGTTTCTCCACTTGAAAATCCAAACGCCATACACCTCCCAGCATCTTGGCTGCATCTGTCAATCTTAGAATTGGGGGAGGGGGAGGAGAACCTGACGAGCTGATTTGCTGTGACTGTACTACATGTCCTTCTGGCACAGGAATTCCTAAACTCTCACGAGAAGGGCTAGTCCCAAGGAATCCCTGAGGAAACCACATGAGCTCTTACCATGTACCAGCTACTGTGAATCTTCACCCTCCATGAGGTATTCCCAACTCATGGATGAGGAAACTGAGGCACGGGGAGAATAAGTAAGTGTCTAGGAACTGGGGCTGGGGTTTGAATCCAGGAAGACTGTGTTCTGAGACTCTGCATTGTGTGGATCCTGGGGTCTGCAGGCCCACCTGGGAGTTACCTTTCCCAGGGCAGCCGCTGGAGCTGAGGCCTCCACCCTGGCAGCTCACTGGGATTGCAGGGGAGCTTTAAGTCTTTAAGTACCACTGAGGCATGGCACCCACTCCAGAGACCTGATGTGATTGCTCTGGGTGTGGCCAGCTCTCCAGAGATTCTAAGGCTGCCCGGGTGGGAATCCTGGCTTCAGAGGCTTCAATGCCAGCAGCTATTAACTAAGCAGAGACTGGACTTGAATAATGTGTGTGATCCTGGGCAAGTTCAGCTTCCTGGCTTCAGGTTGAAGACTAAGGGCTTTCTGTGGTGTTTGCAATCTCCCTCAGACACAAGAATCCAGGGGTTGGGAGTCTAGAAGGCCACAGCTCTCACACATCTTTGGGTGCATCCTTTGGAAACCACTACATAATGCTTAAAAACCCTCATGTATAGAAAAGAAGGGATAAAAATATTGGGCCTTTAAAGAAACAATCTGGTCTGAACCTGTTGCAAAACTTACGGGTTTAGGAAAGAAGTGATTCCATGTTAACTAACATTAAACATTGCCAGGGAGATTGGTTTCTTATGATTTCAACTTGTCTCTAGGGAAGACACCTGTTTGCGAGAAGCAAGGGCTGATTCTCTGCAGGAGCTTTTCCTACTTTTCCAAAGCAAAAAGAAGAGAAAGGAGCAATGGATGGTGTAGTGGATTGAATTATATCCCCCAAACTCACTGAAGCTTGAATTGTGTCCCCCAAATTTTCTGTATTAGAAACTTGGCTTCCACTGTGACTGTTAAGAGGGTGAGAAATCCTATTATGGTAATTGAAAGGTGGGGCCTTAAAGAAGTGATTGGATTATAGGACCATGCAGTAGTGAATGGATTAAAAATGGTGGCCACGGGTGTGGTTCTGAGGGTGTTAAAAGAAGAGTGAATGAGGAAGTTGGCCTCTTGCTCTCTCTGCTCTGCCATTTTTGCAATGTGATAGCCTGTTGTCACTGAAGTCACCACCAAAGAAAACCTTCACCAGATGTGTTCCCTGGACTTTGCACTTCCTAGTCTCTGAAACTGTAAGCAATGAATTTTGTTTTTGTTTTTTTTTTTTTAAAGATGACCGGTAAGGGGATCTTAACCCTTGACTTGGTGTTGTCAGCACCACGCTCAGCCAGTGAGCGAACCGGCCATCCCTATATGGGATCCGAACCCGGGGCCTTGGTGTTATCAGCACCGCACTCTACCGAGTGAGCCACGGGCCGGCCCTGAATTTTGTTTTTTTAATAAATCGCCCAGTTCCATGTATTTTGTTATAAGCAACAGACATGGACTAATACAGATGGGAAGCATTTTGAGTCCTGAAAGATGAGGCAGGAGTTGCTGCATGACCGAGGGCCTGCTGTTGGCCTCTGTCTGGATGCAGCCCCCAGTCAGGCTTAGCTGGCACTGGCCGTGAGTGATCTACGGCTCTGAGCTCCATTTTAACCTTGGGAGCTTTGTGGGCAGAAACGAGTGAGCAGAAAGGAAAGCCCAGGCTCCTCTGAGCAATGGGGAAGGGTTGTTTCAGGCTGGTGGTCAAAGTATTTCTTTTGTAAGCAGGGTTTAAATTTGGTGACCTGGGTAAGTGTCGCAAACTCCAATGCCCTCTGGAGCCATCAGGCGACGAATAGTGTTGGCTGCTTGTGTGGGACTGAACTCAACCAGAGAGTCCCTGGGCCACCAAAAGTGGGAGATGCCACATATATCTCACTGATATTGTCATGAGGGAATGGGGCTCTGGTCTTTCAAGATATTTCAATTTCTCAAGAGAAGCCAGAATATTAGATTTTATGTGAAATCTCCATATTCTTAAATGTTAGATACAATTAAAAAAAATTTTTTTTAATGGTGTGGGCCAAACTACACCTGTCTGAGCTGGGTTTGCCTGTGGCCACCAGCTGGCGCCTCCCGCAGGCATTTAGGATAGTAAGGAGGTGCCCTCTTGGAGCTGGCTGTTCTGAGCCTGTTGCTTCCAGCCCAGCTGTCCCTGATCAGTTAATGGAAACCAAAGGCAACGGCAAAAGAAAAACTGGGTGGAAGCAGCCAGGCTGGGGGGTCCCTGACTGCACTTGGGAAGGCTCTAAATCAGCGGTGGTTATCGAGAGAAACTGCTGGAACCTGCACTCTCCCCATCTCCTTCCCCACTTCACTTTTCTTTGCAGTAATCATCTCTTCCTAACATGCTTATCACAATTATTTTGCTTGTCTCGCCCTTCTAGGATGTTAACTCTGAGAGAGCAGGTATTTTTCACTTTTTTGTTCACTGTTGTATCCCCAGTGCCTGGCACAGAATACTCAAAGCTTTGTTGAATAAATGATAGAGTGAATGAATGACGTAGGGATGGCAGGGACTGTAAAGGTCACAAGACGGCTGGCTGGTGTGGCTGCAGGGCTTCCTGGTGCCTGAACCTGCAGACCCTGCCCTGCCCCCGCCGTCCCACGGAGGCAGCTGCAGCTGCAGCAGGCAGAGCTTAGCATCAGCCCAGAGGTGGCGGCCAAGGGACAAGCAGCTGGGGCTCTCAGCCTCAGACAGAAATGGGCTCCGGCTGGCTGCAGCAGCTTTTGCTGAGGAGAAGACCCTGGCACTTTCCACCATCTGCGGAGGCCAGGAAACAGGAGGAGGGACCGAGGCTGCCCAGAAGGGCCTGGCGTGAGGCTGTGCCACCAGGGCTCCCTTTCAGCCTGGCCAGGTGCAGCTGGAAGGGCCTTCCCTACATCTCAGATCAGCTGTGTGGGCTTCCGGAGGCCTGGGCAGGGTGCGGGAGGGGCGCAGGAATGGCAATGGGGCTGCTGCCAAGCTGGACGGGCTTCCAATGAATGGTGGCCCAGAACAGCGACAATGGTGAGGAAGGGACGCTGCTCCCACACTGCGTGGGAGGCTGGATTTCCCGGGAAATCAGAAGCCGGAGGGGCGGGCGGACTGTGCACCTGCTGGCTGCTGCTCTGGGCCCCTCGGAAGTCGCTGCTGTTGGAGGGAGGGGGGAAGAGGGAGGG